TTAGAATGAATATCATTATCTAGTTTTGATCCTCGCAAAAATCAGTATGAACTTGAAGTTCAAAAGATTATTATTTTACAAAATATAGTAAATTAGTTGCCATACGTATTTACTAATTTAAAAGAATAGCTAAATCTTATATACCAACTACAAATGCTCCTATTAGCATTGATGTCCCTATAGGACAAGGCACGCCAGAAGCGTGGAAACAAATCGGTTCCAAAGATAAAATTCTCGAAAAAAAAGAGCAAATATTTAAAATAGTCAAAAAGAGGAAAGAAAAACTCTAGAAGAGACCCTTAACATAATTGAGGAAAATTTCAGAAGAAATTTAAGTACTTGAAATTATTGAAAGTGAAGAGATCTCAATCAATTATGTCATAACAGGAAAAGATGGAACCGGTAAATAAATGTCGACGATATTTTGTATATAATATAGAGCTCAATATCATGAAAGAAAATGAGGATCTTGAATTTCTATTTATTGAAGAATGTAGACAAAGAAATGATTGGCTAATATGGAAAGACGCAATTAAGGTGGAATTGAATTTAATTGTAAAAATGTGAAGTTTTTGGACCTGTAATCCGTACATCAAATGATGTAAAACTATTCAAATATAAATGGATATTTGTGCAAATGTGAAATGAGAAAAATGATATTATGATATATAAAGCACGACTTACCGCACAAGGTTTCTCTAAAGATCTAGTATTGAAGATGAAGAGATATTCTCGGTGGTGGATGCAATTACAATTCTATATTAACTAGTCTGGCAATGTATGAGAAGATTGAAATGTGTCTAATGAATATAGCTATGGCTTATTTATATGGCTCATTTGATATTGATATCTATATAAAAATCTTTGGAGGATTTAAGTTGCTTGAAGCACAAAATTTGAATTCTCGAGAAATTTATTTGATCAAATTAAATAAACATGTATATGGATTAAAGTAATCCAGACACACGTGGCATAATCGTTTTAATGTATATTTGTTGGAAAAAGGCTATAAAAATAATCCTATATGCCCATATATATTATAAAAGGGTTTAAATATGAATTTATTATAATTGTTGTCTATGTTGATGACTTGAACATTATTAAAACTCCTGAAGAGTTATCAAAAGTCGTGGATTACTTAAAGAGAGAATTTGAGATGAAAAACCTTAAAAAAATAAAGTTTTATTTTGAGTCTTTAGATTGAACATTTGACAAATAGAATTTTTGTCCATCAATTAAGTTATATCGCAAAATGATAAAATGATTTTATATGGACAAAACATATCCATTGAGTTCACCAATGATTGTGAGGTTATTAGATGTAAAAAAGAACTTTTTCAATCTCGTGAGAATGATGAAGAACTTTTTGATCTTGAACTACCTTATCTTATAGCAATTGGAGCACTAATGTATCTTGCTAGCAATGCAAGACTTGACATATGAATTGCTGTGAATTTATTAGCAAGATATAGTTTTTCTCCAACTCGAAGACATTGGAATTGAATTAAACATATACTTCGATATCTCCAAAGAACAATGGATATGAAATTACATTATTCAAATGCATCAAAAAAAATTTTAATTAGTTATGTAGATGCAAAATATTCATCTAATTCACACAAAGCTTGATCCTAAATAAGTTACTTGTTCACATATAGAGGTGTAGCTATTTCATGACATTTTATAAAGCAAATTATAATTG